TCGAAGAGGTGACAGCATGTCTATAAGTCTATAAGCAACTAAGTGTACAAATAATATCACTTTCATTATAATTGAATCACAAGGAGTTAGTCGGAAATTTCGCAAAACCCCGGAATCGATGACAAAACATGAGTTGCGTGCAGATACGGAAGCAATTGGCCACTCAAGTTTTGGGAGCCGGAGATTTGTCATGGGCCTCTCCTTAACAACCACATACTACCAATATCTACACGATTCGCGACTTATCGGGGTGCACAAATCAAACATAACACAGCAATGGGCGAGAGGGCGATTTCAAAACTGTTGATAAATGGCAATTGTTATTACTAATATACGATGGGCTTGGTAATGGCTTATTTATAGGGTTGGCTGCGAACTGGGTCTGCCCTTGGGCCTGGTAAATCAACGTCTATGATTAGAGCTTAATACATCTTGATAAGGATGCCGATGCCATAAACGGAGGCAGCTGGGGTTGAACTCACAACTCAAATTATTGATAAATCAAAAATGCCACTGCCGCGCCTTCTAGCTCATTCGCACTTGGCAACTCTCTCGATTAAGTCGCCAATTTAGTTGATTACACGGCTAATCGAGAGATTTGGCCGGTTCTAGTGGCCATTTCCGTGACTCCGGGCGGGTCAGGTTATCCGCGTTAACCCGCGTTTAAATGTTTCCGCCCTAAATCAATGGCATCGATAAGCTCGATGCTCGGTATTGCAAGAAGTAGTAAGCAGTAACCGATACTTAACCTAACCTATACTTAGCTTAACCGTCAGTTACTTTTTTACAGTTTACCGGAAATGATAACTGGCTGACTCATTTCTGAAGGATTTTCGCGCTTTAAATCGCACTTTCCAGACTCCTCCGCAAAGTTCAAATCTCCGGCGTCTCTTTAACCGCATCTGTGTTTACCCATTAGCGTTTTTCGGGCTGGCAGCTTAAAATGTTTACTCGGCTCGCCGCCGAAGACGCTGATGGTGTTCGAGAGCAGCGGGGGGAATTTCTGGGAGGGGCATACCAGGGTATACAATCGTCTTTTTGTTTTTTTTTGGCATTTTTGTTTACTTTCGAATTATTTCGTTTTTGGCAAAATGTTAAATACGCAATGCGTAAGTAAGGTAGTCGGTAGGCGTTGGCTTGGGGGGTGTGGCACAGACATCTGAAAGCTAGGTGGCGCCATCATAAATTCACAGAAATTCCCCTTTAATGGAGATTTATACGCCTAGGGCAGCATGGTCGTTTGTCCCGAGGCGCCTCTTATTCCTTTATCTCCGTATCACCAGATCTCCGGCGGTTTATTGACTTTGCTGAATGTTTTTGAACAACTTTTGATATTTGCACAGTTTTCATTTCATTGCTATTGGCCATTTGTCTATGGCCAAGCGGCTAATTAGGAACGTGGGAACGTCTAAGGGCATTTGGCATTTTGCGATGAAATACATCGAATGAAATTTGGGCTACTAACAGTAATTGCAAGTTAAGGCATTATACAGTATTAACATAATTAATAGAACTTCACTAGGAATTGCCACCTATCAGTACATAAGCTATCCTTCTCAAGAGTTTCCCAATTTTTTAGCCAGACGGTCTCAAGATTAGCATTCTTTTGCTCCAATCACACCTCTTCAGATTAATTGAACCCTTCCGAGGCATTTAAATAGCATTCACAATTGGCTGGCGGATGATTTACAACACCCTTGGCTGCGGCCTTTGCTCCATTGAGCTGTCCATCTGGCCAGAAATGGCTGTTTTTATTGGCACAAATCAACCAGAAGGAATAAAACGATTAGGGAAGGGTGAAGAAGTGAGTGGATTTGTGTGTGATTGTGAAAGAAAGAAAGAAACTTTGGTATTTTGTCAAACGTTTATGGGTAAATCAATCAATTTCAATGCAATTTCAATTAGGCCAAGATAAGCGCTAAGGAGGCAGAGGCGACCAATCCAATCAAATGGGCCAGTGGTCGCGCTATCAGTTCGATTGTGTGTGTGTTCAATAAACAATTTTAATATTTTTAATTATGAAAACACGTTGATTATATAAATTAAATCGCTGCCCCGTCAGCGATTAGATTGCGCCACTTCTTTCAAACTTCAAATTCTTAACTTTTCGAGTGATGTGACGACCATTTAAGCGGCTTTAAACAAATTTTTATAATTTTTCCATCTTCATAAATATCAGGGGTACCGGCAGTGCAGAGAGGGCGCGACGTCTGATAGGGGATTTTGAATTAATTGAAAATTGATTATTAGCGATATATGAGCGTGCAGATAAGAAAGTCCGAAATTGAAGGCAGCTAAAGATAAGCGATTCCTTTTATTTCAAACACTCTTTCATAATTGAAAATTAATCCATCATAATAGACGTCAGCGCAGAAATTAAAACTGAAGTACGAAGGGTCTTTCGAACCCTTAAGAAAATCACCGGAGAAAGGGAACAAATAAAATATGAATCGTGAATCGATAAGCGGAGATAGTAAATTATGTGGCCGAAGGCAAGACCAAAAAAAGGTAAGGTAAATAGGCCGAAAATGAAAAGAAATAAATAAAACTCATATATTTTATAAATACAAATGAATGGATATTGTAAGCAGGATGGCGAGGAGGCATCATTATCTGTCAATTGAATGCACTTATGCAAACAATTACAAACTGGCAGGCAAACAGCACTGCCGTGTATCTGTATCTCAGCCCCGAGTATCTGATCAAATAAGGAGCACAAATCAAAATGCGATTTTCGTGCGTCCTTCTTATCGGAAAGTGCACGTTTACCTTTCGCTTCCAATCGTCTGGCGCTTCATCGCACTCACTATATGTTCCCATATTTATATACACATATGTATGTACATACATATCAGGAAGTACTCCCTGCAGAGGTTAAAAAACTGCAATGTCGCCACGGCAGCTAAATGTATCTCAACTGTGTGCAAACAGAACCTACAGAACCCACTCCAATCCACACACCTCTCCTCTCGAAACAAGACTTGGTTGGGTTTTGGTTACGGTTTCGGTTTTGGCTCTGGTTTTCGGTCTGCAACGGCTTGGAAATTTGTTTGCGCTGTGGCTAATGAGGCAGTCCAATGCAGATACAGAAGCTATATCCACATATGTAGATATGTATACACATAGATTTCGCGCTGCTTTAAGATTGCGTGTTTACTGAGATAGACTTAAGCTGTAATCGCTGCATACGGGAACATAGGTTCATTCAAAAATACCTTCTACCTCTCGTAACTCTTTAAATCTTATTTTGATCAGCACTATCAGCAAGATTTATGATGACCGAAAATCATTGATTGTTATCAAACGGCCCTAAAACCTAAAGCGCTAATCTTTGCCGAGCGGAAACTAAATGCTATTCTAACGTGGCCTAATGAAAATAATAATTGGCAATCGTAAACCAATTCCTTTCTAGGTCCCACACAAAGGATTATCAGGCCCGGTTTTATCTCATTAATGATTCCCATAATTCTGACGTTTTGTATATGGCAATTAAAAAAAATGAAGAAATACGAGGGGGGGAAAGACAGAAATGAGTTTATCAGTTTTTAATAAGTTTGCTACGTTGGCGAGCCAATAACAAAAGCAAATCAATTCGCGCACTTAATGAAAAAACACAACTCAATTATAAACTTTATCAGTGGTTTTTGGGGCGGAGTTTTGGGCTGGGCGCTTTCCTGGACTCGCAGTCATTTAAAAGTCATTTTCTCAATGCGAAAATTCCATAAATATTCTGTGTAAATAAATGAAATTTACTTTTTCAGCGCCATATCATAAAATAATTATTTCATTTCGCCTGTGTACTTACGTTGATTTACAGTGGATAATTTTTTGAAAAATGTTTTTTTAAGAATGATATAACGCGTGAGATTATAGAAAAATCAGCAGTTGAGTCGTACGTGTCTGTAAATGAGTTAGGAAATATTCAATTGGCAATTGAAAAGCAAACATATTTATTGACCTCCTTGGAAAATGTGGCAATCATTTAGTAATCATTGGGGTCCGGCAAGATGACCCGTCTGAGTTTGTTTAAAACACTGCACGAAAACAGAAGAAAATCCTGACGAAACCAGCAGCTATGGGTGGGTGGAAAAAATGCAAATAATAAATATCAAAGTGCAGTAATAATTTGCACTCACACATTTGTATAGTGAACTCGCTGTGCCCACAACTCTGTCAACATAATGAGCCAATTGGAATGGCAGGCAGTCACTTTGCAGATACAACTCAACGAGGTATCCGTATCTGTATCTGTGTATCTTTGTAGCTGCTGAAATGTAAAAATTATTTATTGATAACGCAATTTAATGCCAATTATTTGCACATCAATATTTGCTCAATTATCAACTGCAATTCACTTGGGTGCGGTTGTGATGTTGTGATTAATGAGCAGATCCGATGATGATGATGACGCTGAAGGGTGCTGGTTTGTTTGACACTTTTCTGTGGTTATTGTTTTAAAATGTTTTGAAAAGTCTTTGACCTTTTTGCTATATCTATTGGGATGGAGGCATAGAACACAAGTGTCAGAGTCAACTCAATCAACCCTCCACCTTCATCCCTTTTTTGCCAGCCTTGCAACTTTTGTTTACTTAGCTAACTAAGGCGCTGGAAATCTGTTGAAATTTTCTGGCATTATTGTTCACTTATCGGCTGAATTAACACGAGAAAAAGGGAGAAATGGCAGGTTCAGGATATGTGTTACCCGTCTCTTTCCAGCTCGGCTCATCCCTCTCTTTCCGTTCTATATGCTGACCGCATCAGCTAAATTGCAGCGGCATATGTGACGATTTATTTTTATTGGTGATTTCTATTAGTGATATTTGCTGCAAATTTAACGCCTGATTAGCCTAATATGTCAGAAAATGTTTCATTGATCTAAAGCAGAATTTATGGGGTTGCTGCTGCGAGTTTATGGCAGTGTTTTTTGATTTAAAAAAGGGTTTATCAATTCGGATTTCCCCTCTATTTTGCGTTTCGTAATTACAAAAAATCATTCGAATATTTATTTGCCTTACAAAAATAGTAATGTACATATTAATATCCCGAACACTATTAAATTTAAAATATTTTGATTAGCGGCTTTTTCTTCAGCGTCCACAAACCATTTTCCGCAGGGACACGTCTTATTTTCCATCAACGATGACCAAACTGCTCGACTGCACATGTGACAACGCCTATTACTTTCAATATCTGTACTTCTTCTTCTGATCTTTTGACATCCCATTTCTGGTGACCAGAAACAGCAATACCCGATTATTGGCTCTATAAATTTATTAAGTTAATTTTGTGATAGCAGTTTAGCTTAGCTACTCACTTTCATTTAGAAAACCCATTCCGGCTGGCAGGCAAGCCTCTAGAAATGGCGGTATATTGGACGAATTTGCATAGGGGTCAAACTTCAGGGCATCAACTTCAAATTCACAACTCCATCCGGTTGTCTTAACTTGGCAATTTCGGTTTATCTTCGAGCAGTTCGCACATTGCATTTTATCAAAGAAACTTTCTGCGGTGGTTGTAAAAGCGGCTATAATCCAAACGATTTTACCAAACATATCGGATATCAAATGTGTGTTTTCCTGCAAGGACTACTGAGATCGGAACATTACTAGATTTTCACCTAAAAACCAATTATTAAGCCAACGTCAGTATTCTATTTATAGAATACCCGTTACTCGTAGAGTAAAAGGGTATACTAGATTCGTTGAAAAGTATGCAGACAGGCAGAAGGAAACGTTTCCGACCATATAAAGTATATATATTCTTGATCAGGATCAATAGCTGAGTCGAACTGGTTTTAATTTTTCTGATGTATGATGCTGTAGAATTTCAAAAAAAGCCCAATTGCTGAAGTTCCAAAGTCCATAACTCAACTTCTTGTAATCGGATTTTGATGTGGCATACCTCTAAATGTTTCTGGAGCAATTCTCTAAAAATCTACATTCAAATTTGGAAATTTATTTTTTTGAAATTTTTTGTAATTTTTCTGATGTAATGGTGTTGTAGAAACTCAAAAATGTCCTAATGCTGAAGTTCTAAAGTCCATAACTCAACTTATCTTAATCGGATTTTGAAGGGGCATACCTCTAAATGTTTCTGGAGCAATTCTCTAAAAATCTGCATTCAAATTTGGAAATTTATTTTTTTTGAAATTTTTTGTAATTTTTCTGATGTTATGGTGTTGTAGAAATTCAAAAATGTTCTAATGCTGAAGTTCTAAAGTCCATAACTCAACTTATCTTAATCGGATTTTGATGTGGCATACCTCTAAATATTTCTGGCGCAATTCTCTAAAAATCTGCATTCAAATTTAGAAATTTATTTTTTTTTAATTTTTTTGTAATTTTTCTGATGTTATGGTGTTGTAGAAATTCAAAGATGTCCCAAGTCTGAAGTTCTAAAGTCCATAACTCAACTTATCTTAATTGGATTTTGAAGTGACATACCTCTAAATATTTCTGGCGCAAATCTCTAAAAATCTGCATTCAAATTTTGAAATTTATTTTTTTTTAATTTTTTTTTTAATTTTTCTGATGTCATGGTGTTATAGAAAGGGGAATTTTTGCCACGCCCATGTTGAGATGTTGAAATGTTGAGATTTTTTGTTCGCACTTCCACTAGCTGAGTAACGGGTATCTGATAGTCGGGGAACTCGACTATAGTATTTTATCTTGTTTTGAAGTCAAATCGATTAGCTTTTATCAATTTAAATGCAAATGAATTGAAATATTTTCAATGCACTTAAGCCAACTTAAATCAAGTTTATCCAAAACGCTTCCTTTTACAACATTTTAGCTCTAATTGCATATTTATGTACGTAGCCATTTCCCCAAAATCAAAATGGAATCAAAACGGATATACAAAATGCACAGTAAAACTGAAACCCAATCCAAATCCTCACACTTGCCGCATAAAATCCCCCCACTTTCGAACCAAAGCCCCAATCCCATCTATTTACCCCCCGACTCTCTCTCTCTCTCCATGTTTGTTTTGTTATATAAAATAAACTATTCTGGAATAACACAAATCATACTGGGCCAGAACAAACGAGGCTGGACCATTGCCAGGTCATGTTCCCAGTTGCCCCCTCGAGCAGCACCACCCATAAATGTTAGTTAAATGCACGTGGATGAGTAGATAAATATGGTATAATGAAAATAAAATAAGAACCAGATAGAAACTTGGAGGGGAGCACGGGGGGCGATAGAAACAACAGCAATCAGTCGTCATTGCAGACATCGCACTAATTTTGAGTTAGTTGTTGGGAAAACATTTTCGGCTTGAGTTTGGGTTTTTTTCGGGAAAATTGGTAGTGAGTCGGGGCTTCACTTTTGTACGTGGGCAAGGAAAATACACTTTGGCACGTTTCTTGTTAGCGAACAGTTTGCTCCCCCATTCCCCCAGCTAACTCAACTCTTTTCCTGTCTGGACATTGCATTATATATGTACCACATATTATGGGTTCTATTTATTTGGGTTCTAAAGTCTGCACCTTTCAACTTCTTTGTCTTTCTGCCAGCTGCTTTAGTTTCCCCTTGTTTTGGCCAGGGATTTGGGCTTAAAATTGGGAATTAGATACAAGTTTTCAATGCTAACTGAGCAATATAAAAAAAAATATGTTGGATTGTCTTAGATTAGGTTAAGAAGAAAAGTGCACCTTAACCATATTTTCCCATTTGGTCATCCCTAGTAAGCATTAAATCTAACAATATCAAGTTATCAAGGTAAAGTGCAGAAAATCGATTATACCTCACATCGTAGGATAGCTTATGTTAATGTATTCCTTAGACTTCCATTCAATTTGATGTCCTTTGCTTCCGCATTCAATCCATTTACAGCCCGCTACCCTCTTAACTCTGAACCGCTTGGTGGGAGCCATTCATGTCCACTTAGTAATCCATCAAGGGAACATTAATATCATCTCATCTGGCTGAGCGTGGGTCGTAAAGAAAATGCATTATATGGGCATTAAGGCGGTATCGCCAAACTGCCAACCGAGTTATAAAAGCCCAATGAAACGAGACGATATCGAGATTATTGATTTCTTGACTGGCTTAAAGCTGCCTTTTGGCCGCTTGAAGTGTGTGGATCGGTGCTCAAGTGCCTTAATTGCTGGCCTAATCATCTGCCAGACTTCCTATAACCTATTGCCCCCACGCCCTGCCCCTGCCTCCCTCCCTCTGGGAGCCATTAATGACCTTCCGAGCACCCAGCACCCAGCACTCCCACTCACCCACTCTCCACTCAAGTTGATTATGAAGATTCTTTCGTCTTCTGCCGCTGAACTTGCTAGTTGCTCAACACTCCATAATGATGGCAATTATAGCCTCGTTTTTCCAACAATTTATATGAAATTTGCTGCGCCCAAGCACCCCCCTCACCCCTCTGTCCGCACTCTCTTTCTCGGCCAGGCCACGCCCCTGCGTTGGACATTTTCAGCCACTTGGCCACGCCCCGTGCCATCAGGCCATCTCTGTCGCGCCGCAGTAGCCAAACCGCCAGATACTCCATCTTGAAGAGCGCGAAAGAGAGGCAGAGCGGTGCTGATTGCACCACCCTGGTGGTGCTAGATACTGGCATTCCAAGCGCGTATATGATACCACGTTTGCCTGCCAGCAGCGCACAGTCGTTAGTGAGCGCTCGTCGAGTTCGCTTCGCAGGAAATCAGAAGTCGGTGCGCACGCGTTCGCAAGCAACGATTTCGAAACGTGTTTGAAAGTGTTTTGAAGTTTGAAGAGTTTTAAATCGAAGAGTATAGAAACTGAACTTTGGTGAACCGAGTGAAGCATGTCCAGTGCCCAAGTGTCGCAACAGCCGCCACCACCGCCGCTGACCGCCAGCAGCAGCAACTCAATGCCGTCGCAATTGCTACTTAGCCACATTCAGCACCACAGCAGCAGTCTGCACCACCAGCGCAGCCACCAGCGATCCTCGCCACCTGCCCAGGACTACGATCAGGGCAGCAATCAGTCCACGCTCTCGCCCAGATCCCAGATAACACCCAGTCCGCCGGCAGCGAGTCCCACGCACTCGGCGGCCACCACAGGATCACCAGTTAGCACCTACACTCCGGCCTTGAGTCCCGCCGGTGCACTGGATAGCAGCCAAACGGAGAGTGCTCAGAATCAGTCACAGATGCCCCTGCTAGTGGCGCCCCTGCCAGTGGGCAATGGTCCGGCACATCCACATGCCCCGCCGCCGCATCCGCGTCTTTATGTGGAGGGTTTCCCGCCACCGCACCACGTGCCGCATCCACATCCCGCCCTGGGCGCGTATCCCCTGCCACGACTGCCCCTCATGATGCCGGCAAATCCGCCAGGTGTGCCAGCAGGAGCAGCTGCACCACCGCCCGCCTCACCGCAGCCCGCTGCCAATCACCTGAGCCACAGTGGTGCCACAACCATGGCCACCACCACACTCCTGCCTCCCGCCCAAAGTCAGCCCAAGAAATCCTTCTGCATCGACGCTCTGCTGGCCAAGAGTCAGCACCAGTCGGGCGAGCCACAGCCCATCGTCGTGGATGATCGCCTGGCCGCCCTGCACTATGCCCGGGATCAAGCGGAACTCAATCACGCGTTCGTGACCGCCTCCAATGCGGCGGCAGCTGCTCAGGCGGCTGCCTCGGCCGCCGGCGGCATCAGCGAGCAGGAGGCACTGCAGCGCATCCGGGACTCCAGGGAGTACGACTCACCCAGTCCCGACGGCATGTCAAGGTGCGTAAAGAAATCTATATGGGTTGGCTGGCACAAACATTTCGAAAGGTTTGAATGGAAAAACATATTGTTAAGGCTTTAAAATTTATTATTATGATCGAAAAGCATTACTAAATTTGTAACCTTAAAGTTAAACAAAGCCTTTATGCTATTAAATGTTCTTAAAAATTTGTTAGGGAAGGAAAAGTTAACTCGTTTACCATCACTAATTCTTAGTTACCATAACTTCTTTAAACTATTTAAACTGTTTTTTTAAGTTAAATACATTTTAATTCCATATTAATTCGTATGGAAATGAATGATTCAGAAGTATTCATTTGATAGTACGTACTATCTGTCCTGATAATTTATTTAGTCACTTTTTAAAAAGTAATACAAATGCTTTGGGTTTGTTCACAAAATTAAGTAAACTCAATAGTTAAATGACACAATTTTTTTGCTCATACAAATACTCGCTTGATATTGCATTACTTGGTTGCTAATACCCAGAATTTAAAACCGATTCGGATAAAAAAGCAACTCTTACCGAAAATCCCTCAACTTCTGGTGGCTACCAAACAAAACCGTGGCACTTGGAGAAAACCATTCTGAAAGCCAAAGCGAAGCCCCCATGAAGCTCCAAAGCAGCTTTGCTGGCACTCGAAAACATGGCTAGAAAAAATGCCTTCAATTGGTCAATTCCAATTTGGTCATCAGCCACAGAGATTACGTATACGCCATGTGTCTGCCGTCACAAGTGTGTGAGTGGCTAATTTGAAGTGGGAATTGTGTACGAAGAAGCAAACAAATTAGAGGGAGGGTGGCGGTAATATTAATTGTTTTCAAAATGTGTCGCGTAATTTCGATTGTCATCGATGGGTTAGATAATACACAATATAGGGTGCCCCATTGAGTTTCTGTCTTCAATTTCCGCTCCTTTGTAGATCGGAGTCGCCCACCTCGTCGCACCGCTCCAGTCCGCCCATCAGTCCCGGCTGCGAGGATCAGCAGCAGCCCCACGGTGGAATCCATCCCCAGCATCTGTCCATGCGCATGTCCGACTTCCACGACGAGTTCAAGAAGCCGATTCCACCCCACAGTCCCATCAGACCCCAGGATTTCCCGCTCTACGCGGGCGGCCATCCTTACCAGCTGTTGGCTCAGGGCGGATCCGCTTTCCACAGACCGCTGGATCCCTCAGGCAAACCCATTCCCGTAAGTAGAACTTAAATATACTTAAATATTACAAAGTAATATAATAATTAATAGCTCAAAAGATACAAAACTCATTTTAAACAGCTTTCTTATGGAATAATAATCATATTTTCCTGTTCTTTCTTGCAGATACCCATGGGTCATAATTTCATGCCGTCACAGCTGCAATTTGAGTTCCTGGCCCGCGCCGGCATGCTGCACCATCGGATCCCCGAACTGGCCGCCTATCCGCATCATGCGATTCTGGGCAAGACGAGGAGACCCCGCACCGCCTTTACATCCCAGCAGCTGCTCGAGCTGGAGAAGCAATTCAAGCAGAACAAGTATCTGAGTCGGCCCAAGCGATTCGAGGTGGCCAGCGGCCTGATGCTGTCCGAGACGCAGGTGAAGATCTGGTTCCAGAATCGCCGGATGAAGTGGAAGCGGTCCAAGAAGGCGCAGCAGGAGGCCAAGGAGAGGGCAAAGGCCAACCAGCAGCAGCAGCAGACTCCCAGTGCAGCCAGTTAGGAGGAGAAGCATCTGCAGGATCTGTAGAATCTGAAGGATCTGTAGGATCTGTAGGATTTGAAGGATCTGTAGGATCTATAGGTTCTGGAGGATCTGTAGGATCTATAGGTTCTGGAGGATCTGTAGGATCTTTAGGATCTGTAAGATCTGGAGGAGTGGTCTCCAATCTAGTCATGCCGCGATCAAACCGCCGTCCCACCACCAAAACGAGACACCCTGTTATCTTGCACCCAGTTTCATTCGCGCAATCGGTCGAAATCTTTTTGGGTTTTTCACGTTGATTTCGCTTTATTATTATTTGTGCCACAACAACTGGGCACTGTGTGATATATGTAAACAAGAAATATAAATTAAATTCATTACCCCTTCTCTAGCCATTGTATGTACATAAACATAAATCTAAATAGGAACACGAACATAAATAACTAAATAAACATAAATCTAAACTAAATGAGTAATGCTTAAGTAAATAAATTACAATAAATGCGATTAGTTTAGTTGGTAATTTGCAATTTGCTTGTGTAATTTGTGTAAATAATTGTAATTATGTAATTGTAGTATTTAATATTAACAGAAACAACAAGAGCCATTAAGAAAAAATAACAAGTATAAAATGTTTAATAACGCATTGCGATTGAAATAGTTAATATTCTGGATTTTATTTTCGAAATCAAAAATGGAAAAAATAAATCATGCAAAACATAAACTTACATGGATTTTAATAATTGGACTGAATCATAAAAGTGGCACAGGTAAGATATGACATAACTCAAAAAAACCTAAAAAATCTACAGCTAATCCAAAGAAACTCGAACATTTTCAGATAATATAAATAAAACCATAAACTCATTTATACCATTTATTGCCAAAAAACTGAAAAATATGCCAAAGGAAAAAGTACAAATAAATATAATTTATATATATTCAAGTAAATATCTAATCTTGCTTGCTTCAAGAGCTGTCTGTGGATCGAATTTATAAATACACGACGACCATAAAGAAAGAGCTATTAGCCACATATTCGCAACTACCATTCAAAATTCTACTCAATTTCTCGCCCTTGCGATAATGCTTATCACTGCAAATAAATCAAAATGTGCGCAGATAATCAAGTTAATTGCTGAGACAATAATTATGACTAAATTTATAGTATCACTTCAAAATTATTTCGCTAATTAAAATGTAGCCAACTTAGGGCGAACAACGAAAGCACTTCTTAGTTTCTTGCCTTGTTCATATCGATTTGGTTTTGTGTGCAAATGGAAAAAATCATGGTGAGCTTCGATTTCCGCCAGAAGAGGAGCCATATAAAGTGCTGTTATCAAGGAACTCAGTACAACAGGTTTGATAACCGCCTGCATTCAGTTTGCCGTGAGTGATAGGTATTTACATAGATCATTTTATATTTATGTCTATCTATTTCCTAGCAACGTGATTCAGTACCCTAATTACTATATATAGAAACTACAACTACCTTTGCAGGACCCTGCTCACAAAAGATGACATAAAGTGTTAACTCACTTGGCATTGTTCTGGCCACCTTCGATTGCATTTCCCACTTCCCATTTCCCATGCCCAGTACCATTTCCATTCCCGTTTCCGCTTCCATCCTCATGAAGAGACCCGTCCGTCCACTTCATCACGTAATTCTCAAGTATTTCATAGACTCGCACACGACGGACTTGACGGGTTTTATGGACGCTGTTGGTTTGCCTTGAAGTATGCTTTATATTGTTATTATTGGTTGTTTGATCTGCTGCTGTTGCTGTTGTTGGCCTTATTGTTGTTATTATGCAGCAGTTACTTGTTTTCTGATGGGCTAATAAAAATTCATTTCGTTTCTCAGCTTGCTCCTAACACGTAGCGCATTCTGGTCTGAGTAAATGAGTGGAGCACTCATTTCTGTGCAGGGTACATATGTGGGGTACAGTGGGTTAATCATGTGTTATCTATAGTTGTAACTAATATTAAAACTTATTTAACAGGATTCAGTTACTGATTTGCTTGGTTTCTATCATTCACACAGTAACTAAACCATTTGCTGCACTTAAAGATTTAACTAACAGCAATCTACAGTTTTTTTAGGCTATACATATAAGTAGAGCAGGCATTTAAAAAAGATATTACATTTAATTCTAATTGTTCTAATTGCTGAACCCCTGGAACCTTTCTGCACCGAACTTGACCCACTGTGCACCCTGGGCTGCGGTTGCTGATGCTGCGCTTTATTTTGATTTGCCTTGAAGTGGCCAAATGTGTTGAACCAGAATACAATACAAAAAAGGGAAGGGGCGATTTTCCCCTAATTTCAATTCATTGAGCTATTAGCGGGTAATTTGCAGCAGGAGAGTTTCAATGAAAACCCGGCGAGACCAAAAAAGGGTGACAAAGATCAAACCGTAGAACTGGAATTCCATTCGGGATGGATGCTGTTTGGTCCTTTGGTCCTTCGGGATGCCTGCTGCTGATTGTCGCATCTGTTGCAAATTAAATTTGCGTTATAATTTCTATAAACACACAAGCGTTGAGTTGAGGAAGGCACACACCCAGAAAATCGCCGATTGAATTGAGGGTTCACTTTCCGCACCGCCGTCAAATTTTCCCCTCCTCGCCTGACTTTGTTGCCTTTGTTGCTGGTGTTACAATTTGGTTGTCCCCTGTTGGGCGACGTCATCAGCTGCACTGCAAGAAATAACTTGGCGTTGCAGTGGAACGTATTAAATAAATCAATGTCAAAAAGATCGCAAAAGTTGCCTAACTCTTAGTTGTCCTTATTTATTTATTAAAATTTCAATGGTGTATTATTAATTTTCTATCCCTCGAAATGATTTGCTTTTCTCAGTGCACGCCAACCCCTTGGGTTGAATGGTATTTATCGTTCCAGTCCGGGGTTCCAATTTGATCTTCATGTCAACACAGATGATCACATTTTATGCTTAATTTTGTTATATGTGATGTTTGCTTAACTGATTTAGCGTACACCGCCGCCCATCCGACCCCTCTAATTTCTATAAATTGGCATTCGTTGCATTTTTACGCTAATATTCAATCGAATTTGCCTCGATTTTCGATTTTATTGTCAAATATGTGCGATTATTGTCATATGTTGGATTTTATTATTGTCAAATTTGCATTTGTCTGGGGATCGCGGCACTTTTGGGCTTGGGGGCTGCATAAGCGGTTACTGCTCGTTAGCCATCTAGCTAATGGCTGTTTACACAGTCAGCTGAGCGGGTGAACTGCAGCTGAAAGGATGCGAAGGATGCGAGGGTCAGGATGCTGTGGTGTCCTATTGATTGGCTTCGATTCATATCACAATTGATGGGCGGCAGTACGTTTTTAATTGCTGCCGCGCTGGGCAAATCCCTTCTAATTGATGGGCGAAATGCATATGCGCACATTGAGCGACTATAACTGCTGGTTTTTAGCACAAATATGGGATTGCCGAGTTGCGTCGTTAGAAAGAAGTATCGTAGGTATTCTTATGCATTACTTTTTGCTAAGATAACTGCTCCTTGAACATCGCTTGACATATTTAAAGCCATTCTACGTTGTATCTCACAGACGTAGATACATCTTGAGATCCTCTTAAAGTAAATAAGGCACCCAATCCCGCTGCCTCAACCTGCTAAGCACTTTCTCCCCTCATTGCTCTGTTAAATTTGCTAATTAGCCCAACATAAGGTTTTCTAATTTCCTTTAACGCGGAGCTATATCAGCAACAGGGGGATATACATACATATACATGCGCATCTATGAGGAAACGGAGCCCGCAGTTGGTCCAAAAAGCAGACGAGCAACCCTCTCTTGGCCACCCCTTAACCCATGGCAGCCCATCAGCCCATCACAGCAGCCCCCCCACTTGGAAGTTGAGTTTGGCTTCAGTCGTTTGGTATCATTAGCCTCTGGGGATGATTTGTTGTTGTTTGGCAGCACTTGATCAACGCAGCAATGAATTCAATTAGCACCAAAACACCAAAAGAGCGTTGCAGGGGCAAGCGGGCGCTGGTGCACGGGGTGCAGGGAGGTGGAGGGGGTGTGGCACTTGCTGCTGCGGGCAGAGGAAAATCCGGAGGCAGAGGCGCAGGAAAAACGGACACACCCTCGCCATTAGAGAGTTGTGAGGCTGGGGAGGGGTTGGAAATGTGACGGAGTCTGGTCAATTGTTTGGATTATTTTTCTGGTGAATTATTGCGTGTTGACGCATATGGTGACAATTTCCCTTTACAAATCGTTCCGTCTCGCTCTCGATTGCCAATGCCCCTCTCTCTTTTCCACCCATTCGTCCTGGTGCCCCGAGCAATTAGCTTTGATAGACGAATTGTTCGGGCTGTCGCAGAAAATTTCCTAACGATTAAATCGGAATCATTTTGGCAATGCCAGGGCATTGACTTTATGGCAGGACCTTTCCGACACTAAATTTCGACGGAAATTCGCCAGAAATGAGTTTGATTTCGTTATACAAAATCTGCTAAAATTAAGTTACTATTTAGTGAAAATAAAAAATTTCTTACCGGTTTTACGTTAGTATACCATATAGTTTTTAGTTTTAATCATATATTCACCACCTTTCTATAAAATAATTAATATTTGATCATTTTATAATAAATCCAAATTGAAAATTATTTCTAAAAATGTAAGATATTTTGAAAATTTGAAGTTCAGAACACAAAAGCGTATATTTTTTCTATCATTTGTCCCTTTTCAAATGCCTCCTTTTCGCCATCCTTTTTCATTGTTTATTCAGTGGACGCACGCACGGATTTTCTTTGCTTCGTTTATGGATTGATGGCAGCCAAGTTGGAAATTCCTGATTGCTCTTGGACATTTTGTGTTTGCTCCGCGACTGTCTCCCGCTCCGAATTTTCCTCAATTTTCCTCAGTTTCCCCTCCGCCACCACCACCAGCACAACCCCTCCCACGGCCGTCTCTCTATCTGTTTGGTTTGCTGGAATATAGCCAGATGGATTGTGTAAACATGCTGGAAATTATGGTATTAGTCGCGTATCACGAGTTCGGCGTTCCATTCTCAATTGGGTTATGAATTGATTAATGAATTGATAAATTTGTCGCCAAAGGTTGAGGGTTTTACTTTGTGTGGATGGAGGAGATTATCATATGGCTTATAAAGGGGAGGAACGGGGCTTTACGAAGAGGAAGGTTGTGGCGAGAGTGGCTTTTATAAAAATATGTTTCCATATTACAAATATTTATAATGCGGCATAAAAGGTACCTTCATTCTCTCAACAATTTAATATATTTTTTATGTATACTCCACATTTCCTACATTTTCTTAAACATATAATACGCTTTTACCACCACTTTCCTTATCCCTTGCACCTTTTCCTCAAGGAACCTCCCAGCCATCAACATTTTAACAAATTGTTGGTAATTTGTAGAACTTCTTCCTGTAGCATTTCTCCTTGTCTCAGCTCCTTTTTGCAT